TTGGCCTATAAATACAACACTTTGTGAATGAGCCTCCTAAAATACAATATGAACTTTAAATAATTAGCTCTCCAGTTTGTCAATTTTATCAAAATTGCAAATGTACTTTTCCACTGACCCAACACTCCTTTAAGGAATTTATGTTCAGATATACTTGAATACAACTAAAATGTTTTTACTAAATGTAGGAGTTTGTAACAGATTTTTAAAAAGTCCCTGAAAAGAAACAAAATATGAGAAAATATTATGTATTTATGTAATATAATTCCATCCAACTAGAAAACATTAGTGTTCCCTATGTCTGTATTTGGAAAAAATTTAAAAATAAATCATTAAGTGTAGAAAAAGTTATAAAAGTGTTTGCTATGATTTTCCTTGATAAAACAGGAATGTAAGAATATATATTTCAGACCTACTATATAGGACACGCTCATGGTTACCTTTTAAGAAAAGACAAATAGTTATCTAAAGATCAAACCATAAATTTCCTCATAGCACTAGATGAGAATTTCAGTTGTTTTATGACTTTGCCAAAGTTTAGTATTGTTCAAACTCCCGATTTTTGCGTATTCAGTGAATGCGAACTAGTAGTTCGTTGTTTCCCTGACTACTAATAGGTGAATGTTTAATCATATTTCCTCTAAAGTAAACTACCTGGTCTAGATACTTTTTTTGGTTATTGAGGTGTGACTTTTTTCCCCTAAAGGCTTGTTCTTTTACATTGTTAAAATCACATATTTTGATTTATAGACTCTCTTAATAATAATGAAGTCAAGTTTATCGAACTTTTCCTTTAGTGTTTGTTGTTTTTTGTGCCTTATTTAAGAAATCCTTCCTACTCTGAGTTCATATTTTCTTCTCATAATTTTATAATTTTGTTCTTTACAATTAATTTTTAATACAGTCGAATTGTTTTATGTAGTGTGTTCAGGGTATAATTTCATATTTTTCTCCTATATATATTTAACAATTGGCAGGATTTCTTTTATTGAACAGTATGTCCTTTTTCCACTTATCTGCAGTGACTACCATTCCAGAAATCAACTTTCTACAAATTTGGCCCTCTATTGGTCAATTGGTTGACTGTTCCTATACTGTTACCACATTAATTTATAAGTCTAGCTACGAAATAAGTCTTCAGATCCACTAAGTCAAGTTCCTCTATCTTGTTCTTTTAAAGAAAACCTCCTTTATGTTGGCTTTTCTATATACATTTTAAAATTAGTTTATGGAGCTTCAAGACATACTCCTTTGGAAATTTGATAAAAGTTGCACCTGACTTGGGTACAATATTTTGAGGAACCTTACAATTTCAATCAACTAAAAAGAGACTTAGCAAAAAAGAGGACCCTATCGGGATCCTGAAAAAGTCTTGTAGATTTTTTGCTCATATGTTGTAGCTGTACTTATTCTGTTCCAGGAAAAGGAGAGGGAGAGAAAATGGAAAGAGGGAGGATGAACCAAAGTATTAAGGTGATAAAGGATGGGTCTGCAGTGATGTTATCATCCACTATTTTCTGGGGACTCAGTGAAGTGGAATTGAAAGTAGGGGTTGGGGGGAAGGTGGAGAGAAGAATGAAGGCAGTATAAACTGCTGGTAGAAAAGACTTTAACTTTGCTGAAGACTGAAATTACTGTTCCTTATGCTTGTTGGGCTCAGGAATCCTGACTGTGGGACAGGAAATACAGCACTGAGAAGGTGGCAATTGAGCTCTGGGAGACAGCGAGGAGTTTCACAGTGGGCGTGGACATGTGAGTTGAGATAAAGCTGTGGCGGGTGTTCTACAGATAGTCGAGACAAGTGGAACCATATCAGGAAACCGAGACGGAACTAATGGGTTTGTAGGAGTAGTTTATTTTAAGCAAGAGATGTAGCTGGTAATAATAGTAAGCAGTGGCACGATTGTCCAAGGCCATGGCTATCAGACAAAGGACTTTGAAATTCATCCTGGGACGGCAGTGAAGATTCTTGAAATGAAGAGGAGCTGAATCTAAAGTTTGATTCAGGAAGGTAACTAAGACTGTACTGACTTTGGGATCGCTGTGACTGTGACTACTATTGTGCAGAGAATGCCGAGTGCTGCACTCTTTCCTGCAGGGGGCGCCCAGTTGGGCCGTGAGCCCTCCCCGCCCCTTTCCTCGCCTCTCAAGTATGAAGCGGTGCGCTCGGAACTCGGCTATGTCCCCTGGACACGCCCCGGGCCGCCTCTGCTTGGTCTAGACGCGACTCTGCGCGTCACGTCCGCTCTGGCTCCAGGCCAGAGCAGAGGCGGGGCGCGCGCAAAACTTCTGCGCTTGCGCCGCTTGGTTACTCTCAGCTGTTAAAGCTAAGGGCCTGGTGGGCTTGCGTGTCTCCTCTACTGCCGTTCTGAGTTTCCTGCAGTTATCTTTCCCCCTTGCACGCACAAGGAATTTTTATTTAGCTCAGGAGATATAGGCAAACGGCCCAGAGGACCTCGATTGTTCCCTGAGCTTAGTGATGCCTAGCCTAGCACCACTTCCTATCGTTCTCATTTAAGAGTCCAGTCTTGCAGGTTCCTTCCAGCTGCTTGCTCTGTCCGTGGTCAAAATGCCCAAACTAGTGAAAGCCCGCCAAGCGTGCCCAGCCTGGGCTGCAATGGATACTTTTAGAGTTTGTTTACCTTTGGTCAAAGCCGACTGGATTTGAAGAGGGCCTTGGAGGTCACCACGCCTAACCTCTTAACCCTAAGGTCCCTTGTGAACAAATTTACTATTTTTATTTACATGCTTCCGAAGATGGTCAGGCTGGGCACGCTTGGCAGGCTTTCACTAGTTTGGGCATTTTGACCACGGACAGACCCAAGGGTTATGATAGAAACTTACAGGTGAGAATTAGCGTGGTCCAAGGAGACCTGTTGGAGGTGGTGACGTTTCTTTCTAGCCAAGTGAATAGTTAGGATCAGAATGAGTTCCAGTCTGAGGGAAAGAGGTTAGTGTTTTCCAGGAATAGAAGATCCGTGTGACTGGACTGTGGTGAACCACAGCTGAGGAGAGTGAGAAAAGGATAAGACAAACAGGAGCCACATGCAGGTTTTGTAGATCATAGCAAGAAGTTTGAAAAGATTCCAAGAGCAACGGAAAGCTAAGGAACAGTTTGGGGCAGAGGCTTGATCTCAGTTGAATTGCTTAGAAACACACAAACCAGCTACTGTGTCATATAGTTTTTCCATATCACAATCCTTTAAATATTTGAAATGGATAGGTTTTTGTGAGAAATCTTGCCCCCAACTTCTGAGCTATGGTCCCTAAATTCTGGTTCTTTCCCAGAGGATTTATAGTTTTCAGAATGTCATTCTGAACACTTTAAAAGTGTGAAGAATTTAAAGATGTAAATCATGTTATCTAAGATGAGATTCTCAAAGAGAAGCACTGTTTAAACATTTCTCATCTATGCGTTCCCGGTTATTGTTCTGGGGAATAGCAGGTACAATGTCAACTTAAACCCAGGTTACTTCTCTAAGCTGTCTTCTTACCTGTAAAATGAAAACAATAGGATTGCTATGAAGATTAAATAAGATTACGGTCAAAAAGTGCTTAATGGTAAACCATGAGGCGCCAGCCACACTGAGCCATTTTTGTAAAAAACAAAACAAAACACCCTGGGAAGGAGGGACAATTTATAGATAACGCTGTTAGCACTCTACATACATTCACGAAGTTCCTATTCTGTGTAGAGACCCAGGAGTTTATTATCTAGTTGAAAGAACCAGAAGAGATAGGCTACCCTGTGAGGGGCGCCGGCAAAGTGCCCTGGGAGCTGAACATTATAGAAGAGGGCTCAATGAATGTTCACTGCAGGTAAAGTGGTTATTGGTGTTCACAGTTGGAGTTTGAAATATGAACATATTGATTCTAGTGCACAAAAACAATACTGCACGTAACACATTTTTTGACGCTGAGGGAAGACTCATTGGAAACACTGCCCGCCGTTTCTACCATTCGCCAAACATCCAGCAGTAGGTTTCGTTGAGAGAAGGCACCTATCTTTTGTCCAGTCTGTTTACTATACATTGCATGCTCTAGGCAGTTCTTATCAGCCTGTTTGGGAACAAAGTACACACACCCCTGTCCGAAAAAAAGGTCCCGGACTCTAAGAGAAGGGTGGGATCTCGCGGCCCCATCACACAATAGGGTGCTGCTCACCACAGCCAGCAACCCACCCCGCACCCCGCAGGCCGCACTCAACCCAGAGTTCGACCTCTCAGGGCCCTTTCGCCCCTCCCCTGCAGCGCTCAGGGGCGCCGCCACAGCCAGGCAGGGTGCCCGCCCTCGCCCGCGCGTCCCACCTCCTTCGCTGGGGAGCCGGAAAACCCGGAGTGAACCAACCCTGCCCGCCGGCGCATGCTCAGTGGCGAGCAGGTTCAGTTCGCTAGTAGGAAGCTCCAGCGTTACACCGGCGTCGGCGGCGGCCGCGGCGGCACCTCAGGGCAGCCAGATTCCCCACGACTGGGGCCCTTCCCCTCCCCCGTTAGACCCCGGCCCCTGCTCCGCTCCGCTCGGGGTCGCTCGCTTTCCGGGGGCCGCGCCGCGCGGAGCGGGCGCCGCG